TCTCCTAATAATAGGACAATCGGCTAGTGTTTTTCCCATACATTCTGAGTGGTGGGGGACAAGACCGACCTGTAGCCAACGCTCGTTGCGTAGGACAAACCCACTTCGTCAAACAGATGGACGAAGGAGCCTGTTACCTGGCCAATAGAGGGATGGTATGGATCAATCTCCCTTCCGCTACACCAATCAGTGTATGCTTGCTGCCTAGAAATGTATGCCGCGTAGATGGAATCCCTGTTCGCCCTGGCCAGGACGTTGGCAGCCCGCTCAGATAAGGCTTTCGTATGTGCGGATCTACTGAGAGCCTTTATGCATGTAAGTGATACCTGCTGGGCTCGTTGATAGTGCGCCATCTGGTTGGGACGGCCGGTCCGGTAAGTCCGGAAGCACTGCTGGCGCTTCAACTAGCATTTCCAACAGAAGTGGAAACTAGGCCTTGCTTGGCCAATTGGGTGCGACCCATGATAATATGCGGGTGTGCACCTGTCGAAGTTTTCTCCGGTGTCCGGTAAACTAGCGGGAAGGGAGGGAAGGCGTACACAACTAAGTGGGTCCACGGGGCTAGCAAAGCGACCCTGGCCCATCTCCTGGAGTCAGCAGGAGTGTTACGTACGTCGGCAGCTTGGCGTTCTGGGGTGCGGCAAAACGGTCCAACCTTGGATCGTCCCACAGCCGAAACAGCCTGGAGGCTACCCACTGGGGTATCAGCCACTCAGTCTTCTGGAGACTGAGCCGCCCTGAAAGGGCGTCGCCAGACTGTTCCTCAACCCTGGAAGGTGGTGTGCGGTTAGCTCCACATTGTATTCCAGGCACCAAAGGAGGATTTTGCTCTGCTAGGACTGACAACGATGGGGAATGCGTCCCCCTCCTTCTTGAAGGAGACCACCATGGTAGTACTAAGTACACTGCTCTCAGTTCGAGCGGGTTGATATGGTAGTCCCGAAACTAATGCGGGGGCCATATCCTTGGGCTTGTTGGCCCGATAGATGTGCTCCCCAACCCTGGGGGGAGGTATCTGTTACCAGAGCCATACCTGCGGCGAGCGGGCCCAAGGGGCTCCCCTGTCCGAGGTTGGCCAGTGCCGACCACCAGGACAGGGCTTCCTTCACTTGGTCCGAGATCGAAACCCGCCTATCTAGTTCCCATAGGAGAGCTCAGTGTTATAATAAGCGTTATACCGGGCGGCTGCGTAGTGCGGCCTGGGGAACGACCCTTCGAACCGAGGTCATCATTTTGATGATCCGTATTAGTTCACGGAGGGACACAGAGGGAACGCTGATTAGGCATTCAGCTAGGCTGCTTAGCGCTAAGCAATACGCTTGAAATAGCTAAGCCAAGCTTACCTCTGTGTCAAAACTCCATGCCCAGGGACACCAACTGCGTGTTGGGTCGAGGTGGGACTTGTCGATTTACTAACGAGCCCAACTGGTGAAGTAAATCTCGTGTTAGCCAGATGCGTTTGGCTATTACCCCTTCCT